AATGGTACTTCTTTAGAGGCATGGGAATCTATGCCAAAGCCAATAGCTGATTTTGCTCTCCAGGAGAATGTTTTGATTATGGACGAGCTTGGATATGACAAACATCAGTTAAAAGCTGATCACGATCTTGATTTCAAAAAAATGACGGACGAGCAGAGAAAGATATATGATGAGGTTCTTAGTGCTGTCTTAGAAAAGAGAGGGGTGTGTTTTTTGTCTATGGGTTTGGTGGAACTGGGAAAACATTCTTGTGGAGATTGTTGTCTGCTGCTATTAGATACAAAGGAAAAATCTGTTTGAACGTTGCATCCAGTGGGATTGCTTCTTTGCTACTACCAGGGGGAAGGACATCACATTATAAATTTGGGATACCACTTAATCCAGATGAGTTTTCTACTTGCACACTAACTCACGGAACAGACCAAGCGAATTTGATTAAAGCAGCTTCTCTGATTATTTGGGACGAAGCCCCGATGATGAGCAAGCATTGTTTTAAATCATTAGATAGGAGTATGGCTGACATTGTTGGGAACAATGACAATTTACCTTTGGGTGGTAAAGTTATTGTCTTAGGGGAGATTTTAGACAGGTTTTACCTGTAATTCATGGAGCTAGAAGAGCTGAAATTGTTTTGGCATCTTTAAATTCTTCTTATCTTTGGAAACAAGTCAAAGTGTTGAAGCTGACAAAAAATATGAGGTTGATGTCTAACGATTTATCTCCTGAAGAAGCTAGAGATTTGGAAGAGTTTTCATAGTGGGTATTAGATATTGGAGATGGAAATATAGGCGACAACAATGATGGCGAGGCTCTAGTTGATATTCCAGAAGAGTTTCTTATTCTTGATGCAGAAGATCCTATTGAGTCTATAAGCCAAGCTGTGTATGGTGATGTTGTTTCTTTACAGCAGAATAAAGAGCCTAAGTTTTTCCAAGAGAGAGCAATACTATGTCCAACTAACCAGGATGTCGAGAAGATCAATCAACACATGTTGGATAAACTCGATGGTCAGTTATTGTTTTATGTTATCAATATTATTTGGCAAATTGTACATTCATATACCAAGTTAACATAATAATTTTTTTATAAATATTTCAGGTAAGGAAATGACCTTCCTAAGTTCTGATACGATAGATGCTTCAGATAAATATTCAGTTAACGATCAAGCTCTTACTCCAGATTTCTTAAATACCATCAAACTCTCAGGTTTGCCAAACCATAGTCTTCGCTTAAATATTTGTCGTCCTATTATGTTGCTCAGAAACATAGATCCCACAGGCGGATTAATGAATGGGACGCGACTTCAGGTTACAGAGATGTACCCTAACATTATAAAGGCAAAAGTTATTACATGAGATAACGATAAGGTTGGTCGAGTAGTTATTATTCCTAGGCTTGCTATTACCCCTTCTGACAAGAAGTTACCTTTCAAGATGAGGAGGAGGCAACTTCCTACTTCTGTTGCTTTTGCTAGTACAATCAATAAGAGTCAGGGACAATCTCTATCAGAAGTGGGCATCTACCTACCAAGGCCTGTTTTTTCTCATGGTCAATTATATGTGGCTATTTCAAGAGTTACGTCCAAAAAGGGGTTGAAGATTTAATTGTAGATGATGAAGGAAAGCCTCAGAGAAAACACTGAATGTCGTTTACAAAGAGATCTTCCAGAATCTCTGATTTTTTCCGTTGGCAGTTGTATACAGTTTTATATTTTATATACTTTAGAATGGCTTTCCAATTCTTGAATGAGTTTGATCTTTAAAATTTAGTTTAACTTTAGTTTTCAAAAGTCTATATTATATTATGAACCTAATATGATACCATGCAGTCAAATCTATACAATTTAACTAACAAATCATTAGACTTTATATCTAAAATAATCTCATAATGAACAGGATCATGTATTTCAAAACATCATATATTTTTATCTAATACATTTCAAAAATACATGCCAATTTATGACCCAATTATATTGGACTTCTAAATTATTAATATCTAATGGGCTATTAGTCAGATTAAGTCTTGAAACGAACTGATGTTTAGGTTTAGTTCTTATCTATATAAGACTCTTCGCTTGACTACAATAACCATAATATCTCTTCGTTTATCTCTCTCTCATCGGAAAACGGTACGATTTTCTTTCATTGTTCTTTCTATTCTTTTGTGCGTTAGTAGATGTTGTTCTTATGTTAAATATGTTCTATCTTAGACTGTTTCGAAACATCCTTGCATAAACCGTCATAAAAGGTTCTTTGTTCATAGTTTATTGAATATTTTCATTCTAGGGTTATAGTACAAAATCCATTGTTTGCAGATTTTATAAATCTGCAAAAATACATGGGATCTAACTATAGAGAGTATTTGTTGGGTGTTTATATATATTTTACATGCATTTTTCTTAGGGTTTACTATAATTAGTTGTATGTTTCCTAAAATATATACTTTGTTTCAGTGAGTACTTTCATCCTAAAGCGGATAAGACATGCTTTCTGTTGTTAGATCTGTTTTGCCTTCATTTGTAAACCGTATCTAGGTTACAAATCTTTTTTTTATTGAATATTGGCAGTCTAGGGTTAGAAGGGCTGTTACATATATGTTCTTCGTTTTATGAATATTGTATTAACAGTGATACTTTAGATGAAATATATTTATCATATATTGGCAGTGTAGGGTTAGATTTGAAATTATGAATATCGCTCATAATTAATTTATGCTATATCTTACGGTTTATTATATTTCTTTATTTGTTTTATTTATTCTCTAAAGTTTGATTTTTTTCTTGAACATTGAGAAGTATCTCAATGGCAGGTAACAGAGATCTCAAAATGAAAGGTCCACTCATGGAGGAAGAATCACAAACTGTGAAGGATGCTTACCAGAGGGGTAAGTTCGACACCATGAAGCGTTACAGGGCTATGTTGATTATGTGTCGGGACCAGACAAGAGCAATTGAAGAAAGGCACTTGGTTGAACTCAATAAGGTTCGTCTAGAGGCGAAACTTGAGTTCCTCCATGAATGTGAGTCTCTTTTTTCCATGTACCATGAAAAGAAGAAGACCGAGTTCGAACTGGCCCTTGTCGATCCAAACTTGAAGATGTTCGTGTTCCGCCTATAGATTGGTTCAAGCTGGGTGAACCAATGATGTATGACTGAGCATCTAATGGGAATCTTATCTCAAACTTAAATGTTTATTTTAAAACTTTTTTTTGTTTAAGTTGAACTTTATGTATCAGTTGTTTCAACCGGTATTTTAATTAAAGACTTTATTAGTAATGTTTATTATTGCTTGATTTACTCTTCTTACTTTATTTATTGCTTGATTTATTCATATTTATGGCGTTTTAGTTTTATTTTTCTTCACAGAAAATGGTTTTAGTTAGGTTTAATTATTAGATACGCAGTATTAAGGCTCTCACTATTAAAAACTACTAGATTTTTAAATTGGTAACTTTTTTTATTTTGTTATCTTAATTTTATAATATATGTTTGTTATTATTTTGTTGTAACAGTTCTGAAATGTGCTTTTGATATGATTGACAAATATCTCAACTTCCAAAACACGCTTCTTTTATGGTTTATACTTCAATGATGTTCTTTCCAAGACGTAATGATTTGACATTTTAGTAAAAACTAGATTTTGGCACCAAAAGATTTCGTATATATATTGATTTTATCAATGCAAGATAATCATTACTGTTTTTGACTTTCTTTTCTACATACACAAATCAAATATAATAATAGGATAGTTTATTAATATTTTTTTGAGATTATCTACCCAGTGGATTTTTTAAATAGAATAAGGCTTTTGTAATACTATTTTAAATATTTCAAATTTTACACTATTTTGTATTGTGATTTTTCATTTTAGATCATGGTTTATCTTCAGAATCATCTTCGTTTTTAAAACTATTTGTTTTGAATCTTAGATGTTATTATGAGAGAATTAATTGAAATTTGTAAATGGACTATATTTACATCCAATTTATAGTAAGAATGTGGCCAAGTTTACTATGGGCTTTCGCTTGATCCAATCAAATTTCATATACAAAAGTCATATCCAACTAATTTTCACATACAAATTCTATATACAAATCTATCACATACAAATTCCATATAAAAATCTATCACATAATATATTATATCTATTTTGTCATTAGTAAGTTAGTTTCCATAGTTGGATATGAAATTTTATTACACAAAATATCTGACATAAGAAATCACACATAAGAGAAATGTCAATTTTCACAAAATGAGACAAATCTTTCGATTTCAATACTGTTTCCATAATACCAGGAACATATATTGCACAACAAATATTAATCGCATAAATTCACATAATATGATAGCTTTTATCAGTCAAAAGTTTAAAAATATTTAAAGCTTTTCTAAGAAATATTGGCAACATGCAAAAATAAAAGCTCAATAATGGCAAATACATTTAATTTCGACAAAAAACATAGGTTATTAAATGAAGTGTTGGAACTATACAAAGCTCGGTTTTATTCTTTCTATAAAGTGGAAACTCTACCGTCTCCTATCAAAATCTTTTTTTCTCCAGATTTTTCTCAGCAAACCAGAAGATTCAAGTTTGTAAGTTATCTTTTTTTTTCTAATCTATAGTGCAAGTACCTGTGGAATCTCTATCACCTCCTATCAATATATTAGTATATTGCAATCTCTTTTAGTTTTTCCTCTGTTTCATATGGAATCAAACTTTGTTACCTATTTTTTTAGATCTTTCATTGTTGAACGAAACATGTTTATTTTGTATAAGATTATAGCAGCCATTAGATCATGCATTAACCGATCAATGAGAGTTGATAAGATCCCCGCTTAAGTTTTTTAAGATTTCTGTCATGACAAATTGTTATCTTTCATATATATATAGTCTCTTTTAATATCTTCATTGAGAGTTAAATGTTTTGATGGTGTTATATATCATTTTTTTTGTCTAAGTTCTTATTTCCATTTATATGAACATGCAGATCACTATTTAAGTATGTCTTCGCACCAGTTTCATGGATCAATGTTGCAAGAGGCTTACACGTCTGGAATGAATGATAGGACTAATCATTACCGAAGGATTCTTAACATGTACATGAGGTTTCATGAAGCCGTTGTTGCGAAGCATAATGCTGAGGTGGAAGTGTATCGCATTTCCGGTAAACTTGAACTCTTTGATGAGATCTTCAGCGATGGCGTTATGAACCATGTTAAGGACAAGCTGGAAAAGGAACTTGCTCTTGCTCATGCCCGTCTTGCTGATGTGAAGGTTCCCAATCTCGATTGGGAAAAGCTAGGAGAGCCACAATGTGGCGTTAAGTTATCTCTATCCTCATCTCTTATGTTTGAAGGTGTTATGTCTATGAACTTTTTAACTGCTGTCTGGTTTACAGAACCTGTGTTTTTTAATATTTTGAACTGGAATGATGAACCTAATGTTTTTTATGTTACAAGTCTATCTTTCTTAATGTCTTTCTGATTAATTTTTTTCGGATTCTCGGTTCAATCACAAAGTGACCCGGCTATGCGTAATCCAATTAAAAGACTCAACTAAAAGGTTAAATATACATCACATTCAAACATAAAACTCTCATATAATACTAATCTAATCATTTCATAAATGTTCTTACAACCAAAACAAAACCCGCGTTTCTCAAGCGCGGGTCAAAATCTAGTTGTGTTTTATTTATGGTATATGTAAACATTTTTATTACCTAATTAATAAATCTAAGTTGATAAAAAAAATAACAAGATTCTCATGACGTCGTTTGTCTCTTTAATGGGCCAATGAACGAGTGAAATTCAGAAGACCATTTGGCCCATCGTTTTTAACCGCTAAACGCAATAGCTTAATAACGTTAGCGTTCTATTTAAATTGCAGTTTTACCCTCAACCTTAAAGCCTAATTACTAAACTACACCGAAAAAAAGAGATCTACTTTGTTCTCTCCCATAAAGACACATAAAACGATTATTCACCGCCGTTCATCACCCTCCGTCGTGCATCTGCCGATCTTCACCGTGTTTGCCTCGTGTTAGGTATCTGTGTTCCCTTGCTATGGTCGATTTTGATCATTTGTTCAATCTAGGGAATATAATCTTGTGTGTTTGGAACTTACTGATGATTTTTGTAGCTAGGTTAAGTCTCCGCCTTCGTTTTCTGGGATTCTAGAGAATTTTCGTATAATGTTATCTGATGGGTTGTGTATCTCTGTGTTAGTGAGAAACAATGGCTGGAGAAGGGGAAGAAGATCTGCCCAGAGACGCCAAGATTGTCAAGTCTCTGCTTAAGTCTATGGGTGTGGAGGATTACGAGCCTCGTGTGGTGCACCAGTTTCTTGAAATATGGTACCGTTACGTGGTCGACGTGTTGACCGATGCTCAGGTTTACTCGGAGCATGCTACCAAATCCACCATTGACTGTGACGATCTTAAGCTCGCTATTCAATCCAAAGTTACTTTCAGCTTCCCACAGCCTCCTCCACGAGAGGTAAACTATAGATTATTGTTGTTTCTATCTGCCAAATCCATTCCAGTTTCTGAATCTCTTTAGCTTTTATGTTTCGATGTTTGGTTTTAGGTACAGCTAGAGCTTGCTGCGAGCAGGAACAAGATCCCTTTGCCTAAATTGGTAGCAGGACTCGGTGTTCCACTCCCGCCTGAACAGGACACGTTGCTAAGCCCTAACTACCAGCTCGTTATTCCCAACAAGTCAGCTTCGACTGAACCTGAAGAAACAGAGGAGGACGATGAAGACATGACAGATCCTTCACCACAAACATCTCAGCAGCAACAAACCTCAGAGTTTCCTGGCCAAACTTCCCAAAGGGTCTCTTTCCCTCTCTCTAGGCGACCCAACTAATGTTAGACAGATACATCAAGTTATGTAGAGAATGTAAGAGAATCAATTGTCGGAGTATTGTTGATACTTTTGATTCAATAATATCCCTATGTTTCCTTGTGAGCGAACCATATAGTATATTAGTAACGACTAATGAGTCAGTTTTTCGTAACCTATACATGCATACATATTATTTACACTGTATTCTTGGAATCAACAAGATCAAAGGTACAACGAATCTTTCTGAAGCATTACAGTATATAACAACTTACATACATGAAACAAGGATTCTGTTTTTTACTAAAAATCAGAACATGTTAGCTTCCCCAGCCAACCGTAGTGCCAGCAGCTGTACGTTGGGGGCGCGAAAAGGCGAGCCCTCGATCATACATCCGCTGAATCTCCTCTCTGTATTCAGTCAGAGACTCGTCAGGTATGGCTGGAGTCAGCTCCACCACATCTCCCATCTTCAACTTGCATTTCAGATCACTTACAGGTGTCTGGTTTAGCCTTGGCCTTAGCTCTTCCTTTGCTGGCATGCTGAACGTCGACCATCTCGAGCTCCCTGGTCCTGCTCTGCTTAACAGGTCTGAGACCGTGGAACTAGCTGGAAACTCTTGCACAGTCATCTGCGTTTTCGGGTTTAGCAAGTTATCAACTTCAAGCAAAGAACCATCCTCCACGAGAAGAAAATGAAACGATGTCTACAAGATACTAACCTTTTCGTTTTCGATTACAATGACATAGACGGGTCCTTCTTGGTTACCATTAGGCTTATAAGAAAACGGACAGTCTTCAGCGTGAGACGGGAAACTGCACAAGGGCTTAGAAGAACAGATCGAAGATCTATCTTTGCTCATGGTTTCGCAATGCCAGGTCACAACCCATCTTGCCCATTCAACCATCTGAAGCACAAATGATGAATGTTTGCAGTCACCTTCCTTGTATCTCCAGTGAGCCGCAAACCCAAATTCAGCTTGCAAATGCATCTCTTTTGTCCGTATCTGAACCTCAAGTGGAATGGTTCCATCGCCCATCACTACGGTATGCAAAGACTGGTACCTATAGTTTTCCACAAAAACGAAGTCAGAAAGACAGAGAAGGATGTATCTGCATCATTTGAAGAAGCCTATGACAGGTTTGCAGAACCTACCCATTGAACTTGGGATGAGTAATGTAATCCTTCAGCTTTCCAGGAACTTCAGACCATAGCTTGTGAACCACTCCTAAGGCCTTGTAACAATCTTTCTCATTGTCAACAATCAAACGTAAGCCATGAATGTCATGAATTTCATCCACGGTTAGCTTTTTCCTGGCGTAAATGAGGATTCAATAAGATCAGTATAATCCAACAATCACGTTTCATACAAAGAGGAAATGAGAACTTACCTCAACATCTTGCAGTAGATACTATACAAGCTCTTGTGCCGTCCAGAGAGAACATGGTAAGAAATGCCTTCTTTCTTAAGCGCTTGCTCCATTTTCTCAATCGCCGATGTAATCATAGCTTCATCGAACGAATCCTCGAGCATAGCTGACATCTCGTGGTGCTGGTCAGGATGAAGATGCTTGAAACACAGATTCTCAAGCTCAACTTTCCAGCTAGAGATTCCCAATCGATTAGCCAAAGGCGCAAATATCTCCAGAGTCTCTTTAGCAAACCTTTGCTGCTTAACCGGAGGCAAAGCGTAGAGCGTCACCATATTATGTAACCGATCAGCTAACTTTATAAGTACAGCTCTCGCGTCTGCCATTGCAAGGAACATAGTGTGCAAACGATCTGCTTCAACGGTCTTACACGCGGTGTTGTTTTCCCGAGCAAGCTTACTTAGCTGGCTAAGCTTAGACACCTGATACAATAATAACACAGACAAAACTAAATTTAGAGCCTTTCAATCATTAAACAAATCAAAGGGTGTTTCTTTACTCACCCCTTCGACAAGATCAGCAACTCCAGAACCAAAAGTTCTGAGAATGTACTCATAGCTCATGAACGAATCGTCTAGAGTATCATGAAGAATCCCAGCAATAACAACGGTGGAGTTAGCTCCAATCTCAGCCAACAAGATAGCAGTCTCAACACAATGTTGCAGGTAGGGATCACCATTTGCTCTCATCTGTTTCATACAAAGCCATCACTTAGTAAAAATTCAAATCACAGAGAAGAAATAAAAGTTCTTCTTCATCATACCTGTCCTCGATGAGCTTTCTCTGCTTCGTAAAACGCTTTGATCACAGACTCATCTTCGAAGATTTTGTGTTTGAGCTGAGCACGACTAAGCAAATCTCTAGCGTATGGTTGTCTTCTTTCTTCTCCTCCTTCGAAACCATCGTCCATGGTGAACGGTAGCTGCTCATCTAACTCGTAGTCCACACACGAGCCTACAGCTTTCCTCACGAATCCATTGAACAATCTGCTCGATCCTACTCGGAGAGATCCTCCTCCACCAAAGCTTCTCATCGGAGGACTGCTGCTCGATGAGATTGGACCGTGAAGCACCGAGGAAGAAGAGGCGATGAACTTGCTCGGGGAGTAACAGAAGGAGCCGCTTAAGGTCCGATCATCGGTTCGTTCATGGCGTATAGAAGCTAGCTCGTCCGCTACGGTTTGGTGAGATGCGGAGGAGGAAGGGGATGATTTGAAGGAGGCGCCGGAGAAAAGGAGAGAGAGGCCTCCGATTTTGGGAGAGGCCGTTGACGGCGAAGATCTGGGATTGAGATCGAGATCGCAGGAGGAGAGATGGGTGGTGATCTGGTGAGGTGTGGAGCATATGGTGTTCGGTGGACTCGCGTAAAGCGCTATGGTCGTTGCTACCACCATGGTTTCTATTCAGAGATTAAACCGGAAAAAACGATTTTCTGAAATTGAAATTGAATACACACAGCTTTGTTAATTTCGCAGGAAAAGGATGAATTTTCCTTAGAAAAGCTCAACAGAAAGGGAAAAAACAACTTTTTTGGAGAAATATACACAAACAAAAGGAACAAATCGATCTAGTATATAATATATACAATTTCAAACGTGAAAATTTGAAAAAAAAAAGAGATTTTAATCGGACAGATTGTGAGAGAAATTGAGATTTTTTTGCTGTTTCTTTCTTCTATCTATCCCTCTGTTCCTTCTTGTTCTCCCTGTTAAATCGAGCAATCGAAGCTAAACTGCTCAAATTACCTAATTACCCTTTTATTAACCAGAGATTACTGACGTAAGTAAAGTTGATTAGTGATAATTATTAGTTCATGTCCTTATCCATTGGGATTAACTGATTATAAACTAGTAATAATTACTACTATTTTCTTGTTGTTTTGGTTGTCGGCAGCTATTTTTCTGGTACTTTTCAATCTACATAGATAGCACTAATCTTCTGTTTTGAATTTAAAATGTGATTACCATTTCTGTGCTAAGTACATTGGTGATTATCTTCTTGGAATATTTATGTAATAAAAATCTGTATAAAAATCGGCAACTGGTCGAAAGTGGGATCCGCGGTGGGATTCTATGGTTTTTTGTCTGGTTGGGAATTTTTTGATTCAATGAATCTATTTACGGATGAGGAATCTCATTATTGTTATTTTCATTTTCTACGTTCGTTGATAAATGAAATTATGGAAGACATAAAAAGATATTACATGTCTCCGGTAGTTATTTGCAAAGGAAAATAAGAGGGATGGAAATTTTTGAAAATCTTGACATTAAACATATCGCTTATGCTGCTAGCTAAGGATAGTATAGACCGACCTTACATTTGCTCTTACATTTTAACACGGCTTGTAGACCTAGAAAACTTTAATTTTTTAACAAATAGCAGATCATCATTTGTGATAACTCGATAAGGACACCGACGAAATTCTCAAAGAACAACCATCAATGCAGAAACACAAATTCCACGTGGGTGAGGACTGAAGAGGACGGAGCTCAATATGACACGTGTCTTTATTTGTGGCCAAGTATGCATCTT